GATCAAGCATAGGCTAAAGTAATCATATAAGAATAAACAACAACAACAACAATAATAATAATAACAATGTATAAGACCATGTAAACATTTATAAGCCCTAAGTTTTTTCTTATCATTTTTATTTTAGTTTTTCTATTTTTCCTTTTTATATTTTTTTTAATATTTTATAGTTATAATTTCTCTTTAATGTCAATTTTTTTTATAAAATTTAATTCTTCAATATTTAAATGAAATTAAATTTTTCTAAATTTGATTTCGAATCTCCTACAATATTTAGGCAGCATTTTCAAAAATTATTTTATTTTTTCATATATAATAAAGATATTATTACTATCATTTTTTTACCATCAAATTTTCAAAAATATATACATAATTTATTAGTTTTATTATTATTCTATACTTATTTATTTTTTTAAAACATACACACTCTTTTTTTATATTTTTAATTTTCGTCCCAATTCTATGACACATGAGTAGAATTTTAAAAAAAATACCTAAAATTTAAAATAAAATAAAAACTAATATGGGCAGCTCCTCAACAACCCAAAAAACAGTTAAATAAGATGGAAATAATACTAAAAAAGGTGTTCTATGCAAAGCTATCACTGTCCCCACCTCCTATCTCATTAGCTTCATTCTCCTTCTGTTATCCGATGTTATCTATTTAATGGTTGTTGCATGAGAAGAAATGTGAGACCCAACGCACGCGGTAAACCCCAAGAACTATAGCCCCTAATCATAGTTTTGTAAGTTATGAAAGTATTAATTCTTGGATTTTTATTCCTTTTACTTCTGTGAGGTTCTCATTATATTTATTATTTTTTAAATCATGAACTACTTTACTTGTATAACAATACCAGAAGCATGAACGGAAAACCATGAACTTTAAAAACTAAAAGATAGAACTTAAACTTCATGACAACTGAGAACGAAACCAAAAGAGAGAAGGTTTTTTTCTCTAACCCTCTACGAGTCCTTCCCCAATACTAAGGAAATGGTGAGTGCCTGCATTCAACCTAATGATAGCACATTACATTAAAATCACTCAAATCTGTTCTTATGAAATGTGAAGTTCCAAAGCCAACTGCTAACAGGCTGTAAGTAACAAGGAAGAACGATTCTCAGAATGTTTTGCAATCATGGATGGACTACCTCTCTTTAGTGGTTGGAATGAATGAAGATGATGATGACAATGCCTTGCTTAGACTTTCTCTTTACTACTAACTTTTTAGGTTTGAGTGCACTTGCCAGATCAATGAAGTCTAGAGGTGACCTGATAAACAAAACATTTTGGGTCAAACAAATTTGTTCATTGATTAGTAGAGGACAAGATAATTTCAACCTGAAATTGCTCCATCTTGATTTTTGATATGTAGCACATTAGCACATAGCTTAATATTTTTAGTCAATATTTGTGATGTATGTTGCTCAGTGCTCGATAATTTGTACTGTAGCATCCATAGCTGCATCTAACTTTCCAAGAATAACAAAAGCATGTTCTTTTTCTTATAAGAACAACTGGGGCTGTAACTTCACCAATCTGATCTCTCTCTGGTCTTTGTTACCCTAGATCTATGAACTGAAAAACAATTGTATACAGAGATCAAGACCAATTCTACACTCAAATGAATAGGATCTAGCTTTCAAAACTCTCATAACTTTATTTTATTCTTGTTTAGCATCAAATTTCTCATGTTTGTGAACAATATCTGTAATCAACATCTCTTTTTTGTCAAATTTTCTATTTCAGCATTTTCTTGCTGCTGGAATTGATTTGAATTTTAGAAACTCAAGCTCCACAACAGTCAATTCTACATCAAATTTTGGGAATATATGAAAATTGCCAACAAATTAACAAAGAAAAAAACTTTTATCCAGTTGCTAACAACTAATATCATTATAATTTTCATCATTTACATTGATAAATTTAGACCAAAAGAAACTCCAACAACACTAAAGAATACAGCAAAAAAATGGAGAAAAAGTTCCTTGTACAATTCAAACCAAACCACCACCTTACATTTCAAACAAAATAATCCTTTATGTCTAAGATTCACCACATTTCTCTAAAAACAAAGTGACATTCTTTACAAATAATAATTATTTATCACTCTCTAATATGTAAGCAAAGTACCAAAAATTATTTTTTTTGAAAAGTTATTTTAATTTTATTTTTAAGTCTATTTTTGGATAACATTTTTAATAAACAAATATTTATGTAGGAAAATGATGATGTTACAATTAAACGAGGGACAATAATAACAATTTAAAAATAGAAGCATGTAAAATAAATGCAAATAATAATCTAGAAAACAAACATGTGTGAATGGATGGCATGCAAGATAATGAAATCTAATTTCGAAACAAGTCCTTAAATTTAAAGAGACTATTAAGACTTTTCAACCTTTAAGCAAAGTTTAAGTATGACTATTTATATTTAAAATCTTTTTTTTATTTTTTATTTTTTATTTATTTTTATTATTTTTATCTTAATAAAATAAAATTCTCTAAATACCCCATCATCTAGGCAGTATTTAAGAAAAGATTACTTCATAAAAGGCTTTCACATAAACTTTTAAATTTAAAATGGTTTTGGGTTTTAAGTGGATTTAGGTTTCAAGATTTTACTTAAAGTTTCAACTAAGGCTTTGAGATTTGGTTTAGGATTTCACCTAGGGTTTTGGGTTCCACATAGGATTTAAGATTTCGTTTTAGGGTTTTATTTTAGGATTTTACCTAGGGTTTCATGAATTTACTAACCTCTTTAAAAATCTCCAACATTTAAGTAAATTTTCGAAATAAGCTCGTTTTTCATAATTTCTCTAATAAAAATAAATTTTTATATTTTTATATATTTTCATTAAATTAATTTAACTTTTATTATTTTTATTTTTATTATTTAATAATACTTCAACATCTAGATAGAATTAAATTTTTTAAAACTCGAATTTTAATTCCCTCCAACATCTAGATAAAGCTTTCAAAATCTTCTTTTAATTTTTTTTTGAAGCTTTGTTTGTTAATATTATTTTTTACGAAATTTTTAAAATGTAAATAACAATGAAAATACATGAATAATCAAAGATATTATAAACATATCAATTAGCAACATAATATGTATATAAAGTCACTAAACAACTAAGATCAAGCATAGGTTAATGATAATAACAACAACAATAATAATAATAATAACGATGTAAAAGACCATGTAAACATTTATAAGCCCTAAGCTTTTTCTTATCATTTTTATTTTAGTTTTTCTATTTTTCCTTTTTATATTTTTTTAATATTTTATAGTTATAATTTCTTTTTAACATCAATTTTTTATAAAATTTAATTCTTCAATATTTAGATGAAATTAAATTTTTTGAAATTTAATTTCGAATCTCATCCGATATTTAGGCAGTATTTTCAAAAAATTATTTTATTTTTTCATATATAATAAAGATATTATTACTATCATTTTTTTACCATCAAATTTTCAAAAATATATACATAATTTATTAGTTTTATTATTATTCTATACTTATTTAATTTTTAAAACATACACACTCTTTTTTATATTTTTAATTTTCATCCTAATTCTATGACATACGAGTAGAATTAAAAAAAAAACCATAAATTTAAAATTAAAAAAAAACTAATACGAGCAGCTCCTCAACAACCCAAATAACAGTTAAATAAGAAGATGGAATAATAGTAAAAAAGGTGTGCTAGGCAAAGCCATCATTGTCCCCACCCTCCTATCTCACTAGCTTCATTCTCCCTCTGGTATCCCCTGTTATCTGTTTAATGGTTGTTGCATGGGAAGAAACGAGGGACCCAACCCACGCGGCAAACCCCTAAGAACTACAGCCCCTAATCATAGTTTCGTAAGTTTTGAGGGTCCTAATTCTTGGATTTTTATTCCTTTCGCTTTTGTGAGGCTCTCATTATATTTATTGTTCTCTTAAACCATGAACTACTTTGCTTGCATAACAATAACAGAAGCATGAAAGGAAAACCGTGAACTGTAAAAACTGAAAGGTAGAACTTAAACTCCAAGCCAGCTCAGAACGAAACGAAAAGAAAGCAGGATTCTTTCTCTAGACCCTCTACGATTCCTTCCCTATACCAAGGAAATGGTGAGTGCCTGCATTCAACCTGATGATAGTACATTACATTCAAATCACTCAGATCTGTTCTTATGAAATGTGAAGTTCCAAAGCGGGCTGTTAGCAGGCTGCAAGTAACAAGGAAGAAGGATACTCAGAGTGGTTTGCAATCATGGACGGACTACCTCTCTTCAGTGGTTGGAATGGATGAAGATGATGATAACTATGCCTTGCTTAGACTTTTTCTTTACTACTGACTTTTTGGGTTTGAGTGCAGTTGTAGGATCAGTGAAGCCTAGAGGTGACCTGATAAACAAAACTTTTTGGGTCAAACAAATTTGTTCATTGATTTGCAGAGGACATGCAAATTTCAACCTGAAATTGTTCCATCTTGGCGTCAGATATGCAGCACCTTAGTACATAGCTTAATATTTTTAGTCAAACATTTGTGATGCTTGCTTGCTCAGTGCTCAGTACTTTGTACAGTACCATCCATAGCTGCATTTAACTTTCCAGGAACAACAAAAGCATGTACTTTTTCTTACGTGAACAACTGGTTTATTTGTTTTGTCCATGGGCTGTAACTTCACCAATCTGATCTGTCCCTGGTCTTTGTTGCCCTAGATGTATGAACTGATGAGATTAAGACCAATTCTGCACTCAGATGAACAGCATCTAGCTTTCAAAACTCTCATAGCTTTATTTTATTCTTGTATAGCATCGAATTTCTCCTGTTTGTGAACAATATTTGTAATCAACATCTCTTTTTTGTCAAATTTTCTATTTCAGCATTTTCCTGCTGCTGGAATTGATTTGAATTTTGGAAACTCAGGCTCCACAACAGTCAATTCTACATCAAATTCGGGGAATATATGAAAATTGCCAACAAATTAACAAATAAAAAAACTTTTATCCAGCTGCTAACAACTAATATCATTATAATTTTCATCATTTACATTGATAAATTCAGACCAAAAGAAACTCCAACAACACTAAAGAATACACCAAAAAAAGGGAGAAAAAGTTCCATGTACATTTCAAACAAAACCATCACCTTACAGCATCGTTATCCCAAGAAACAAAAGTGTCTCCAAGGCCAGATTCCAAATCCACCCACTGCCCTTCCTCAAACTCCACCCCACCTGCCACCACCTTCACCTCCATCAAAACAAACGACTCTGCAATCTCCACCACCTCCACCAGCAACACCACCCTCCCTTTCCCCAACCCGACAACCCCTCTTTTCCCTCTCTCCACTCTATACCCCATTCTGTTCCCAACCTCCCCAACCCTGTCCACCACCCCATCCAATGACATCATCGAAGTACTGTACCTCTTTTCCTTCCTCCTACTATGATTCCCTCCTTCAAAAAGCCCTGACAAATCCAGCCCTGAAGATAAAGATATTATATCAAAGGCATTAACTCCATTGCAAACCATATCATGTTTTAACTTCCTGTCATGTAACAAACTTTCTTGTTGGTTGTTTGATGACGTAAATGTCATTAAACTTCTCTTAAACCATGAAGTTTCCATTACCTTTGCTATGCTCATTCTCGTATCGGGATTCGGGTCTAAAAGCTGCCATATTATAGCTTTTGGTTGCTTTGAAATCCAAGATGGAAAGTGAAACTCCCTACGATGAATCTTTTTGTACATAGCCACCAAGTTACTATCATCAAAGGGTAAATAACCAGCCAGCAAAACAAACAAAATGACCCCACAAGACCAAGCATCCGCCTTGGAACCGTCATACCCTTTCCTCCGAACCACCTCAGGAGCCGTATAAGCCGGTGTTCCGCAAGCTGTATGTAGAAGCCCGTTGTTTAGCTGTTCGGGTAGAGCTGAGAGACCAAAGTCTGAAACTTTGAGGTTACCATTGTGGTCTAATAAAAGGTTTTGTGGCTTCAAATCACGGTGGGCGACACCGTTTTGGTGGCAGCAATGGAGGGCAGAAACGAGTTGTGAAAAGTACCTACGTGCGGCTGGTTCAGCTAAGCGGCCACGGCGTAACACTTTGGCGAAAAGTTCACCACCTGAGGCTAGTTCCATGACGAGGTAGATCTTAGTCTTTGTTGCCATGACTTCGTGGATTTTAAGGATGTTTGGATGATGTTGTAGACGGCGCATAGCTGAAACTTCCCGGGTTATACTCGATTCCATGGCAGCGTCAAGTGTTTTTGTCTTGTCTATAATCTTAATCGCCACAACTCCGTTGCTGTCCTCGAGTGAAGTTGCCTCGTGAACTTTTGCAAAGCTTCCACGGCCCAACAGGCGACCCAATTGGTACTTACCTAAAAGTTTAACGGTGGGTGTTTTGGTACGGGTGATTGTTGGTGTTGGTGTTCGTTGTGGCGGCGGTAGGGGTGGTGATGCCCCTGATGGCATGGTTTAAGGTGGTGGAAACGGTGGGGGAAAAGAGACGTTGAAGCAATTAGTTTGCTTGGGACGGTGAGCTGAGCTGGGTTATATAGTGAGGGAAGTTTTGTTTGGTTGGCTTCTCACTGTCAAAGATTCATGCTAAGTAGGACTTTCTTATTTTAGGTTTCCTTAACTACCCTTTAGGTTCGTGTTTTTGTTGCTTCTTTGGACTCCAAATTTTCACTGAATTTAGGTGGTTTTTTTGTAAATAACAATTATTAGGTATCAATTTTCTAATGGGTTTATGCCTTAAATAAATCACCAACGGTATTGTGGAATAGTTAAATTGTACGTTTCTTTTCTACATTTTTATTGACTCTATTTCATTTTTTTTAGGAAATATTTCTCTGGATTTCTATTTTTAGTTTCTACTCTATTATTTTGAAGTTTATTTTTATCCTAATTTTTTAATTTTATAAACCAAAATTAAAAGACGATCACATGTCATAAGTAAGATTTAAGGGTATGTAGTATCCTAGTAATAAAAATTCCACCATCAGTAAATGTAACAATTTTTTATTATTTTATTTAATTAGGCAAATAATGATTAATTTTGTTAAATATTTTATTTTTAAAGTATATTACCCAAGTTGATTGCTTGGATTGTTTATTTTTGTTAAATTACATTGTGTTTTAAAATAAATATTTTTTAAATATATATTTAATTTTTAAATAAACTTTCGCTCACGTTAAAATGGTATATAATAAGTTATACAATTAATACTAGAATTAGGAAAATCATTATGTGTTTTTTTTTCATCTTTAGAAGGAAAAGTTTTGAAAAAATATATTATATTATAGCTCTTGTATCTGTTTATTTGGAATCATCTCTTCAATAAGTAAAATTTTTTATGCAAAAATGGGTAATTTTCTATTTTTTTTAAATAAAAAATGGTTTGTAAAAAAAAATTGAAAAACATAAATATCTCTGATTCTAACATTTTAATTGATCACATTTTTAATTTTCTGCTCTCAAAGTGGAGTCAAGATCAAACGATACATGAAAAGCCATTTGATATATTTAAAAGACTGCTAATGAAAAGAACTTGTACCAACAATTAAGACCATAATGCTAAAGCCAAAGTCCTGACGCACACCACCATAGAAGAAACACATGAAATATCATTATCTACTCCGTAGAAAATGAAATCTGACGTATCACCATTAACCCAACTTTTAACCTTTTTTTATAATTTGCTTAATTACTTCAAAGATTCTTTAATTTCTTTCAAAATGGTGTGATAAACAGCAGGAATATGCAAAGCATCTAACTGGCCGTCACTAATTTTGTTTTAATAAACTGGTTCATTTTGTTGGGACACTCCTAATCAAAACTCGTTTATCGCACTGAGAAAATCAGCTCTTATATATATATATACATATATATATATATAGAGAGAGAGAGGAGGATATAGCTCTTATAAGAGAGAAAGAGAAGGAGATCCTGAAATCTTCTTACCTGCTAAATCAAGAAATGGAAGACAGTCAGTCCTCTTTAGCTCGTTACAGTGTTTAAGCAGAAGTGAATTCACATATTTAATTAGGATGCTTTTGAATATCATTATATATACAAAATTTTTAAAAAATCTTACTCTGAACATTTAAAAAAAATTTCCTAGACACCATTTACATTGATAAAATTAATAAATTCAATGAAAATTTCAAAGGAAAAATATCTGAATCTGCTGTCACTTTTTATAAAAAATCATCACCTCACGGGATGCACACTGCTGGGAACAGCTTGACTTGCATGCTTGAAACAAAATATCGACTAACATTTCGCATTCTCAATCTCTCTCCGATGGTTAATGGGGGGGGAAGGGTTGGTAACTTGGTAGGATCGATGGTGAATTCTGCAATTGGGTTGAAGGCTTTTGGGTGGCGTCTGGTTCGATGGGTGCATGTTTTCATGTAGTTGGCGCGGTTGTTGCAGTGCAATTGGATTGAGTTGGACGGCTGTGGAAGTGCCATTTAAGCACGCTGCAGGTGACCCATTAAGGTTTTGCAGAAGGAGAAGGACCCAGTAATTGTAGATTTAAGTTTAAGCAAATCTGTTGATATGATTACTTTACATACTGTTTTTCCTTTTCTTTTTTTGTTTTTTCCTTTCCTTCGTTTAGGGTATTGAGTGCCTAACTAAATAATTAACCTTAATCTATAACCTCTTTGTGGAAAATTAATTAAATATGCACATATCAATGTATGAATTTGGTAAATTTTTCATATATTTTGGTTTGAAGTGATTCAAATCCAATATCTTGTTTTCCTTTAAAACATTAGAAATTAAAGGGACATAAGTTGAATCAAAATTATTGGAAAATTGGTTCAATCTTCCTCGTATGTTATTGTTAATTAATTACAACTCAAAATTGGAAGTTATGTTGTTTTGAATTTTTATTTTTTAAAATATTCGTGTTTAACACATAACGAACATGATCTACATATCCGATCTTCTAAGTATATGAAAATTAAAAAAATAATATATTCGTCTCATATGGATTTATATTACTTATAATTCTTCTTATTACAATTCTATACTTAATCAATCATAATAAAAAATTATATAAAAATTTACCACTTAAATATATAAGTTAAACATTTTTTTTATATAAATCTCACATATATTAAATTATGATTAATTAATTATAAATGATATGCTCACATATCAAATATTTATTTCAAATTTAACATTCACCTTCGAGTCCAAATAATTGAAAGAGTGAAAGCTAGAAAATCTTGAACTCAATATCTATAGTCTCTCGCCTTGTGCGAAAGGACAAGTAGGTAGAAAATCAAATGTTATCGCAGAGTATGATAGGAACAGGCGTCTATAACTCTAGGAACCTCACGCTTTTGGGCGATAATTATGAACATGTTACATTATAGGCCCCTTCCATTAAACAAATATGATTTTCAAGCATTTAAAAGATAAATTAAAAAAAAAAAAGGATCCCGACAACATTGGAACATAAGCAACAAGGCTAAAACTAATTTTGTAAGATTTGTTTTATGTCAAATTAAGAGTGTGTTCTTTTCGTTGTCTAGCTTTAAATTTGTTAGGAGATTTTGAAAAGAAATTTTTTTTATAAATTTGTTTAAATAAATTTTGAAGAGAAATAATATTTTTTAAAAATCACTTATAGAATACCCGAAAAAATAATTTTTCTTAAAAAAAATTGGCTGTTGCTTAAATACTTGATTTTACTTGCTCAAACATAACTAAAAAGTTAAAAAATAAAAATAAAATTAATATTTAACTAAAAAATAGTTAAAATTACAACAAATGTAATGACTATTTAAAACATAATCAATTTTGGGCCGTTCTTATTTGTGGGCCATTATTTACAGAACTCAAAAGCCCATTAACATCATTGTTACTGGAACTGGCCCATGATGGATATGACGTATTCAAGACAAGGTTTCAGCCTATTAACACAAGAACCGAGTAGTGTTTCTCTGGTTTTTTTAACGATTTTTTTTTTTTTTTAATTTTTGAGTGCTTGGATTTTTTTTCCCTTTTAAAATAAAGGCATTTTAGGTTTTTGTGGCTAAGCCCTCTTTAGCACCCAAAAAAAAAAAAAAAAGAAAGGCTTTCAAATCTAAGACAATAAAGGCCATTATTAAATTTTTAGGTTATGCTTTTTGTTTTTGGGTTTTTACTTATAGCATCCATTCCAAGATTAGATTTTTTTAGCCGTAAAATTACTTTTGTCATTATTTTTTAAGAGATAAAAAAAATTAGTCAAAGTGAGGTTCATATAGTATAATAAATCAATTTTATCTAGTAAAATTTTTTTTTATTCTTGACTTTCATTAAAAAAAAAAAACTTTTCAATCTTTTTTTTTACGAAATAAAAGTAAGAAAAATGTAAAATAATTTTAGTGAGATATATTGGACCCTCACTAGACTTAAGATGCATAATGTGAAATTTAACCTAAAAAAAATTATTCTTAGTGAGAGTTAGAGAGTTAGGAAATGTATTTTGATTCTTATCCGATCAATTTCGATCCGATCTGATCTTTTAAAGTTGGTTTTCTTTTTTTTAATTGGGTATCAGCTCGAGTTGGGTCATATGATAAAAGAAAAATTTTAGGATCGGGTTATAGGCAAAAACAATCCTACCCAACCCAATATATATATATAATTTTATTTTTTAATTAATTAATTTTATATTTAGATATATTTATTTAATTTTATATTTATATTAAAAATAATATTTTATTAATTTTAGATTAAATCAGATTGAGTATGATTTTATATATTGTCGAATCAGATCAAATACGATTTTATATAATATTTTATTCGATTATAAAAAAAAATTTTAAAAATCAAGTTAAATCGGATTCGAATATTATATATATATATATATATATAATCATATCAATTCGATGCAAGCAAACACTTGTCCCAACTTGACCCGTTCCCGTTCCATCCATAGTGAGAGTCAATAATAACTCTTACATACAAATAACAATTAGTGAGAATTGGCACAGGATCGTCACTAAAATCCTCAAGAAAGCCTTTTTTTATTTTTTTATTTGTAAAAGCATGCAATTTGTCTTAGTCCTAGTGTCAACTTAAATTATATTAAACCAAATTAAATTAGTCTATTAATAATTTGAATAATACGAAAGATCTCTTCTTAAATAACATAGAAATTGACAGGATTGGTAAAATATATGTTGCAAATGCTGAATTGCTGATGGCATGAAAATGCATGGTGAATTATTAATTTTATTTTTGGGAGAAGTGGTGTAATATCAATTTTCATTATCCAAAGAAAAACCTTAATTACATGTACATATAAAAGGTTCTTAATTACATGTACATATAAAAACTTAATTTAATTTTAATTTTTAATTTGTATTTAAATAAACTTTTAATATAAATTAATTTTTCTTTTGAAATAAAATTATAAAAATTTATTTAAAAAATAAAATAATTCAGATTTTTTAAATATTTTAACCTCCAATATTTGAGAACTCATCCATATCATGGCTCAAAGAACATATTAAATATAACCATAAATATAAGAAGGAAAATTCAACTACCATCTCCTGCAATCTATATTAACTAGGTAGCTTCCCAAATTCCTATATCCCCAAGCCAACTGCCGACACTGACCCTTCAATAAACCAGTAGCGTGAAATGCAAATGTTGCCTTGAGAACGACAAGAAAAAAAAATAGTAAGCTTTCAATTACTTCATTAAATGCAAACATGGATACCTAAAATTAAAATATTTTCTAGAATTTAAATCCTAATTCAAGGTCTAATAAATTAAAGTATTTAAGTTTTTCCTTAACTTTCTTAAATTTTAAAGACATTAATTTTATGTCTAAATATTATAAAAATAGGTTTTGAGAAAAAACACAACCCCTTTCTTTTATGTTTCCAACATATAATAATATTTTATCAATTAATTGATACAATTATTTTTAATAAATAATATTAAGTAGACGTAAAATTTAGATTTCAGTACTTACAACTCTTAATTTAAATCATCGAATTTATTATAAAACTTAACAATCGTGTGATTTATTAATAAAATACTAAATTTTTAATTATAATTATTAAAATTCAATTTTTGACTATAGGAAGCATTAAAAATTTGTTAAAACTTAGGATTGAGTCTCAAGATTCTAGAAAAAGACAAAGGTTTAGTGGCGGACCCAAAAATTTTTTCTTGACATGTTAAACTATGATATATATAAAAAATTATCCAAATGTTTAATAATTTTATCAATAAAAATGGCATTAAGGAGAAAATTTTGAGGGTATTTAAGAAAGTTTTTTCTTCAAAATTTTTTATTTTTTAATTTTTAGAGATGTCTATGAAAAATTTTTTTAAAAAATTTTAAACTTTTTTTATTTGTCAAATTTTAAGATGTGTATCAAACACCAAATGCACCCTTGCAAAGGTTTGTCCATCAAGGTCCCAATAATTCCTTGTTAATCCAATCAAGAAAAGTGAATGAATGGCAGAGAGGATTAGACAATTTCGTGTGAGGGTTATTTCTTACCAACCATTTTTTCCCCGAATTTAAGTAGTGACTCCAACCATCACCAATATCTATCTCTCTCTATATATATATATATATATAGAGATATATATATAGTATTTTTTTTTGTCTAAGATTTTAGTGTTTAATAATTATTTTATGTCTTGATTAATCTGAAATTAAATCGAACTGAATCTTATAAAAAAATAATTTTTTTAAAATTTATTTTTTTTATTTACAAGATTCAAAATTAAAATTTTATTTTTAAAACTCACGTTGATTATATATAATATTATAAGTATTGATTGATCAGTTTCTTGTGGGTAGACATAGAATGTGATTAATAAGCTCTAATATCATGGGAGTGCAAAATTGGTGGATATTAGGTTAGAAGATTGAGCGTTGAAGACACGAATGGTTTTAAGTTTGACACGCAATTTCAACACAAATATTAAAAATATGAAGAAACAACTAAGAAAGAGAAAGAATTAAGACCATGACTTTTGTTTCGAAGTCAAACGGATATTTCCATTCATACCACGTTTATAGCCAGCTGTAACCAGCAATATGACACAGTCCTTTTTTTTTTAATTTTGTCTTCATCTTTAAAAAAAAAAACTTTATGAGAGTCCAAGAATGCCACTCTTTGATCGTTTTAAATACAGAAATACCCTTCATTGTGGTAAGGGTGTCGGGGTATTTTGCATGGATAGAATACGGTTTTGAGTGGTAACGAATTTAATTCTCTTTAAATAAAGTTTTGATTATAAATTTTATAAAATAAAAAAATTTAAAAAAATTTATTGAGATATGATCTAATTTGATTTAAATTAATGAAAACTCAAAATAACTTTTAATATTAGAAGGTTTTAGACAAATAAAATTCAGATTATAATTTTGGTCTATTGTCTTTTCATCCTTTTTTTTTTTAATTTGTTAAAATTATTATTAAAATTTAAGATTTTAATATCAATATTTTTTATTTTTTATTTTTGAACTGTTTCCTCCTTTATTAAAAAAAAAAAAACTACTAAAAGTAATATTTTCATGCAATATATTGAAAATCACTTGTAAAATATTATATTTAATTAATGTAAAATAATTTTTGTAAATATATAGGACCTTTTAATTGGTATTCCTAAGGCACTAATTTGTTAGCAAAAATAATTTTTAAAAGGGATAAATGGGATTTAATTTTTTTTTAAAAATCCAAATTTGAGCTTATTGAAGATCATTATCTTAATTCCAATAGGTTCTTTTTTTTCCACCCTCAGGTATTTAACTCAAAATCAGACAGATTTTGTAAGCATTCATATTTAAAACCTATCTACTTTTATTTCTTACAAAATTAAAACAAGATTTTAATGAATTAAACCACTTAATGGAATGTTAAACTCTTTAATTTTGCTTGTCACAAATGTACATCATAATAATAATAATAATAATAATAATAATATATGATTTGTGTAAATTAGGCCTATAGCTATTTAACTTCATAGTAGTCACGTTTGAATCAAATTGAATTGAATTAAAGCTTAAAAAGCAAGTGAAGGCAGCAATTATGGCACAAAGATGAACCAAATAATCAGACTGATGAACAAAACTTTGGTCCTAAATTAAATGGGAAAATGAATGTTAATGGAAACTTTCAACTGGCTTGAGTACCCTTTTGCTTGGATTATAAGGGTATGTACATACAAATGGTTGAATTGTTCTTCAAACTGCTTATTAATTAGAAGGTTGAGGCATTCTTGAAAGAGTAGCAAAGTCAAAATCCATACCCGTAAGGCAGAAATGGCTGGCTGTTCGGTACCAAAGTATGCAGTGTTTAGGGGACCAAGTGTCCTAGATTTTGGTCCCAAATCACTTCATTAATAAGAATACATTAGCTGTGTCTGCTTGGATTTCAAAAATACTAGCAAATAATTAAGGGAAGGAGGCTAGCAGTTAAACAATGTTATCAATTAGCCCAAGAAAATTGAAATTCCAACATCAATAATTAAATCTATCCTTTAATATTTTGGGCATTGGCATCTGAATGATTATTTCATAAAATTTTCATCGTTAAAAGTCTGATTACTCTTAATCCTTTAATATTTTTATTATTTTTCGCATTCGATGTACTTAAATGGTTATTTTATGAAATTTTTATTGCTAAAAATCTTATTTTTGTTAATATACTTGCCACTTAGCTGGCGACCCTAAATTATTGATTTTAATATCAATAAGTTAGGGTTTCAAATAAGCCCCCAATTCCAATCCATAATTAATTTTCCTTTTAAGAAAAAATTTTGAGATAATACATGAATTTACCCTCTAACTTTCTTTAAAATCATACTTCATCCCTATAATTTTTATTTTGAGTATCTAAAAAAAGTCATGCATTGCAAGTTCATTTTACCATTACAGTTATCTTAATTAGACGACAGAATAAGATAAATTTATCTTATTTCTTTGATTAATTTTAGATTATGAGTTAATTTGATTTTCTTTTACTAACATTGTCTTTTAATTTGGGTAAGCTAAGTTGTTCACCAACAAATGATATTCATGCAAATAATATATTAATATTCATTTGACATGTCAATCTTTTATTTTTTTTTATATAGAGATCAAAAGATTGAGATAAAAAAAAATTATAGATATTAAAATTTAAATTTTAAATTTTTTTTAAAAATTAATTATATAAATCAACTGAATTAATTTAAAATCGTCAACCCTCTTTCTCTTGCATGCATTCACAATTTCACACCATAACAAGAGTGGCAAAGCTGAAATTCGTTCATTATAAGAGGGCAAAATATAAATCTCACTAATATAAATTAACACAAAAAAGTATATATAAAATAAAATAAAAATTGGAGAAAAAATTTCCCGGTTGGCGAAATCAATGCGATGGCGCGTTCACAATTAAAAGTTCGTTGGGGTGGTTGCATCCTCCAATGTCTCTAGGCCCTTTAAATTGCTCCAACTTCTTCCCACAATTGCAACTTATTTACTCTTTTCCCAATCTTTCCTTCATTTTCTTAGCGAATTCGAAAACCAAAAAGCTACCGATTTTTGTTCAGTTCTTTACACCGAAGTTTTCATTTCTTGAATTTCAGCGACTTTTCTGATCAGGGTTTTGCTTTAGAATCCAAATTGTGTTTGGTTTAGAGCAAAAGGAATGGCGCAAGAGAGTAGGCAAAGCTTGAATGCTGAGCCTGTACAGGTCCAAACAGCTTCATCAGAAGAAGGAAGATCAAACAATCTCCCAAACTTTCTGCTTTCAGTAAGGCTAAAATATGTGAAGCTTGGCTACCATTACTTGATCTCCAACGCCATGTATTTAATGCTAGTGCCTCTCCTATGCATTGCTTCAGCTCATCTTTCAACGCTTACTTTCCTTGATTTTGTTCAATTATGGGACCAACTCAAGTTCAATCTTATCTCAGTTACACTTTGCTCAGGTCTCTTAGTTTTCTTGGCCACACTTTACTTCACGAGCCGCCCCAGGAAAGTCTACTTGGTGGATTTTTCCTGTTATAAGCCTGAAGCTGATCGAACCTGCACCAGGGAGATCTTCATGGAGAGATCTGGTCTCACTGGCAGCTTCACTGATGAGAACTTATCCTTTCAAAAGAAAATCCTTGAGAGGTCTGGTTTGGGGCAGAAGACCTACTTGCCTGAGGCGGTGCTGCGTGTCCCACCGAATCCGTGCATGGCGGAGGCCAGGAAGGAGGCTGAGACAGTAATGTTTGGAGCCATTGATGAGCTCTTGGCGAAAACTGGTGTCAAGGCTAAGGATATTGGAATCCTTATTGTGAATTGCAGCTTGTTCAATCCTACACCATCTCTTTCCGCCATGGTTATGAACAGATACAAGCTTAGAGGGAACATTTTGAGCTACAATCTAGGCGGAATGGGATGCAGTGCTGGGCTCATTTCTATAGACCTTGCTAAACAGCTGCTACAGGTATTTTTTCACCTCCTTAAACCACATGTTTTTCCTGTAGATAAAGTGTTGGGTTTTTAATTTAAATAATGCATTTTTTGGTTATAAATGAGCCAATCTCATTTAAAATGGTCCACTCTAGAGGAAATGGAACATAGGGCAAGAAAATTTTATATGTTCCTCTAGCCTGCAGAGCACATGTGCTCGAGATGGTAATTGGTCTTATATTAGGTGAGCCACATTACAGGATGGCTGCAGGTGATCTTATTAGGCCAACTGACTCGAGGAAAAGACAGGTCTCATAATCAATTTAAGAAGAAAAGGTGCACGCTACTATTAAATTCCCAGCTGTAGCTTAGAGGTTCCAGACCACCCAATTGGAAATGTGGAAGGGTAACCTTAGCTGGTTAATTTCCACTGTTACCATTGAGTTACATGTTATGGAACCCATCAAAAAATAACGTTAGAACTAAAAAGAATAATTAATGCAAATCTAAAGAAATAAATAGCTTGAATAAAATGAAAAATCGAATAATCTGTTAATAAAATATTCGATTTTTCTGATTGTAAATATTAGAAAAGTAATAGGTAGATTTGCTATAGATGCAATGACTGAAATAGTTTGTTCCAATTAACAGGTGCAACCGAACTCTTATGCCTTGGTGGTAAGTATGGAGAACATTACTCTCAACTGGTACTTTGGCAACGACCGATCAATGCTCGTCTCAAATTGCCTCTTCCGTATGGGTGGTGCTGCAATCCTTCTCTCCAACCGGTCCTCCGATCGCCGCCGCTCCAAGTATCAACTTATTCACACCGTACGAACCCACAAAGGGGCTGACGATAAATGCTATAAGTGTGTCTTCCAACGCGAGGATGACACCAAAAGAATTGGCGTTTCCCTCTCGAAAGACCTTATGGCTGTCGCTGGAGAAGCTCTCAAAACCAATATCACCACTCTCGGGCCATTAGTTCTTCCAATGTCCGAGCAACTCCTGTTTTTTGTCACTTTGGTTGCGAGGAAAGTCTTCAAAATGAAGATCAAACCATACATTCCAGATTTCAAGTTGGCTTTCGAGCATTTTTGCATTCATGCAGGAGGAAGAGCTGTGCTAGATGAGCTTGAGAAAAACCTTGATCTCACGGATTGGCACATGGAGCCATCGAGGATGACTCTTTACAGGTTTGGAAACACTTCAAGCAGTTCTTTGTGGTATGAATTAGCTTACTCTGAGGCAAAAGGAAGAATCAGAAAAGGTGATAGAACATGGCAGATTGCTTTCGGCTCAGGATTCAAGTGCAACAGTGCGGTTTGGAAGGCATTGAAGAACATCAATCCTGCCAAGGAGAAGAGTCCTTGGATTGATGAAATTGACGACTATCCTGTTCATGTGCCTAGGGTTGCAACAGTTGGTTCTTCCTAAATACCATAACTATCATTAAGGAGAGAACATTAATTACTATTTAGTATTATGATTTATTTCATACATGGTTAATGTGTTAATTTGAAGGTTAATTCCAAGTTAGAAGCAAAAAAAAAACACATCTTCCATCACTTTTTCACATTTTCCTTTTTAGTATTATAAAAATAATTGATTAATGAATGTAAATCTTACACAAAGAAATGTTACTTATTCCCTTATTTGTTGAACAAATTTGTTGCCTACCTATTTATTTGGTATATTGTGTTGGAATTACTATAAACTTGAGGCTTCAGTTTAATATAAGAAAAAAATTCTGAAAAATACCCGTAAGCTTATATAAATCAATTAAATTAAATTTATAATTTCATGAATAATCTTTTGACAGTGTCAATGTCAACTTTTAATAACTATGTTTTTTTTTTTTCCAAACAAACCAATCGAGCTAGAGTGTAGCTTTAATGAACAAAGAAAATGTATTCTGAAACAAGTTGAGGATCATGGGGTGTCATGCGAGGAATCCATGCATAGTTGTTAATCTAACAATTTGGGTTAGAGAAATTCTGCACCCAAGCAAGCATGTTTGATTGGGACTTCAATCTGATTGGCCTTGATTAAACGAACCAACAATGAAAATTTTGGTTTACCCAAACCTGACTTTGATCTTTCTACTTTCGTTTTTCTTTTTTATTGTTTCTAGGAGTCAAAGAAATAAAATCCTTAAAACTTGCATTTCCATTTGAAAAATGATTTGGCTCGTTCTTGAGAATCACAAAAATTTTACGTGACATCATTAACAAACATTAATTATGTATTATCATGATCTAATCATGGAAATCATTAATTAATTACTCCTTCTCAACCCTATGAAAGATTTAGATAAAATTTTTAGGTGAAATTTGTGAAGTTTTTTATTAAAAATGATTACATAAAAACTAAATTCGAAAATCAAAATTAATAAATTAAAATATTTCATTACATAGATCAAGTGTGTAAAATTTTAAAAAAATTTATATATTTTTTAAATAGATATTTTAGTAAAAATGTTGATAAAATTTTCACCATTGAATAAGTATCGATAAAATTTAAATTATAAACAACATTTTTAATAAATTTTATATATTATTGATCTTCACATTGAATTTTATCAATATATCAATTTATATTTTTTATTAAAGTTTTCATTAAATCAATTTTAAAAAAGAATTTTATAAACTTTACCTCAAGAATTTCATGCAAGTTTTTTCCATTTTAATACATACATTATTCACATCAAATATAAGTTTTAAAAAAATTTTAATACTTTTCATTTAAGTTTCTTAAATAAAAAATAAATATGCGAAGCTATCATTTAAATGCAATATTTTAGTGCATCTGGCACGATTCATTTTGAATTAATCTATTTTTAAAGGTAATTATTGCTATAAAGAAACCATAATTTAAGTATTCTTTTTCTTAATCCTTCATTTGTATGTTAAAAAGTAGTAGTCTTTTCAAAATATTTTGAAACAAAATTCATCATTAATATTTGAACATTCCTTCGTGCACTCCAATGATGCACTCACATATATAGTTATTTTTTATTTTAGGGACTTAGGTAAAAAATACTAAAATTTTTATAGGTTATAATAGAATTTTGAAAATCTATATTTTATGCTAATGTATTGAATACAACAATAACTACAACAAACTGTTGGTTGCATTAAAATTTAAAAAAAAAAAAAAGAATGATATTTTTATAAAAAATAACATCTTCAACTATTTCATTAATTCTTATATTATTTTTTATTATTTACATTTATAACTTTCGTAGTCTACTTCTAAAAGCTTTGCTCTCTCTCAAATCTATAAACTCATTTCTCCTAATTAATACATACATCGGCTTATGTTGCACGTGTCCAAATTATCTCAAAAAATCTTCTCTCATCTTTTCTTCAATTTAGATTACTTTTAATTTTCCTCGAGTCTTTTCATTTCTTATTTTATATTTTCTAATCTTATCACGCATCTATTTAAATATCTTCATTTTAGTTATACTCATTTTCTTTTTACATTATTTCTTAACAGTTCAACACTCAATCTCATATAATAATGTAAATATGAAATGTGCGTATTAAATGAATGTATATAGTCTTTTTCTTAATATTTATCTTTGAGTTTTCTTCATTAACAATCTCATAAACTAGGAAACCATATAAACATTTTATCCCCTTCTAAAGCTCAAAAATGCCTTAAAAGGTATGATATTAAGAAAACTAGTATATAAGTTTTCAACAACTTGACTTTTCTACTTGAAGATCTTATTTCGATTTTTTTATTTTGTTTTAAAGCAAAGAAAATTGTAGCTTACAACTAAAATTTATATACGAAGAGGTTATAAGTATTAGGATTTAAACTTCAAATTTATTAAATATTATTTTTTAAAAATAATAATATAAATCAATTGAATTAAGTTTTGATATTTGAAAAAAAAATTTTGATTTTTTTATAGGAAAGTTACGAGTGTTAATGTAAAAAATTTATTAAAAAATGGTATGCAAAAGATACTTTATGCTAACAAATAATTTTCTTATCCTCTCAAAATAATGGCATATAATCATTTGCATGATTATTGTAAATTCTACTTATATATGTAATCTCATAAAAAAAGTATCAACGACTTAAACTTGGTTTAGTAATTGTTAATTTTGTTTCACAAAGTTAAGATTTAAAATTTAATTTGGTTTAGTAATTGAAGTTGACTTCAAAATTGAAGATTTTGAATTTGAAGTACAATCATAATAAAAAAAATAAAAAAAAAAAGAAAAAAATGTCACTAAGGCAAGAAAGAAAAATATACATGGGCCGTTTGACTGAATAAGGCTCACTAATTTTCTCCAATATTGGATACTTGAAGTTTGTCAAGCCCATAGTCGTTAGGGAACCCACGAGATTGGGCCGGGCAACCATTCGGATGTTGGAACGAATCGGATCCATTTGGATAAGTGGAAGAATCTAAAACCCACGTTTATTTTGTTTATACTAATAATTAATTAATCTATAAAGGCTAACTTTATGAAGCAACCAAATATTTAATAAATTTAAGATTTTGTTGAGACCAAAATAACCCATGAGATTGGACTAAGATATATAATAATAAAAGTTTGGATTAAGTTCAATCTAATTCAAATAATCGATGATAATGGGATCGAAATTAATTAATCAAATTAAGTTTAATGGATTATGCTGACGGTCCAATGCCTTCTTTTTTTTTCTGTCCAATAACAGTCGAATGTCTTCGGGTTAGTAGGATGATTAAGTGGAGGAAAAAGTCCATAATTAAATTAATAGAGCCCAATACAAACGAGACTAAAGATTTCAAGTAAGATGAAACTGTATGGCAAATGATTTTGCTAGAGAAAATATAGCATTAGTAGGTAGTTATTAAAGATTGAACATTTGGTGCTAGAAGAAAATTCAGCACAACGATTGAGAAGAGGCGAGGCTCAAATTAAAAATTTTGGAGATTTCAACGTGGTGGGATTCCTAAGATATTCCCCATTTCAAGGGCCATTGGTTCTCTTCGTGTTTTGGTCAGAAAAAATTTAAGAGCAAAAGAGGTTATTGTCAACTCATAAAAGAAAATTTATGAATTTTTTTTAGGAATTTTTTTTATTTATACCGTAAGGATTCGAATCTGATTGCTTTATATCCAAACCTTAAACTTTAACCACTTGTATCAACTTCTATCGATAGGTTTCTTACAACTTCGATAGCTGAAAAAAGTCTTCAAAAGTATTTATATTTTTTGCTATTTGAAATTTTTGTCCAATTATAAATGGTATTAAAATTCCTCAATTACAATCAATGATGTGTCCGTTGACCATTGACCAAATACAGGGATGAGTAGCATAGTTTAGCCGTCTTGCCCTATATGTCATGCATGAGGAGACAAACAACAGCTTATGATCGGTTGTCGTAATGGGTTGATGTATACAAATACTAGGAGATAGCTTTATAGCGTAGCTTCGTGAGGGTTCAAACTTCAAAACATCAGTCGAATACAGGAACAATACAAAATTACACGCACTACATAAATAATGATTAGTTCAAAACTTAAAATCTATACTCAGTAGTCAGCTTAGGGGCCAATGTCGCAATATAACAGTCGACTTCGTTAGTGTAAAACTACAAAAAGAGCAGGGTCTCAATTACAGGCCCCAGATTCCCCGAGCTGCTGCAATTTTGTTGCTTGGTTTAGAGGTCAGTTCAAACAAAATCCTTGCAAATGTATCAGAATGTCTACCGTCTGAAAAGAGTATCTCCGCAAATGCATTTTCGTAAGCTAGCAGCGATGTCCTGTTCTGAGGATCAGATGCAAGGTGCTCTATTATCATTGCAGCTTTTCGGCAGACTTCTGGTACTGGATGTGGTGTCTTGATCACTTTCAGTATACGATCAATGGCCCTAAATTTAGTGAATTGTATATAAATAGTTAAGTCATTTTGGCAGCAAATCTTAATAGTAAAGTTAATAACAGGACTATTAATTATCATCACTGTCATCATCATTATCCTATCATCTATATTTACAAAAAAAAAATACCATCTCTCACTAGCAAGCTTCAATCTGCAGTCCATATTTACATCCACAAGGTTATAGAGTGCACCAATGGCAGCAGCTTGAGCATCAGATGCCTGCAAACTCAAAAGATCTACCAGACGCTTGTACATCTGCAATTCAAAATGAAGTTCTTACTACAATTTTTAACATGATAACACATTTACTTGCACAAGAAAATATTGTCAGCAGAATGATATTCACCTGTGGAATAAAGGGAAGCAGAAGAGGTTCATTATCAGGATTTATAATCATGCGCCCAAGAAATTCAGCAGCTGCACAGTGCCAGGCTTTGACTGGAGATCCTAGCATCCCCATGATAGCTTGAACTGCACGTTTTTCACTGTTTGGTAAAACAGTTCATGTAGTCGTCAACCAGAAGTTAGAAACTAGAAAAGCATGCACTAAAGCAAGAAAGCAGATCAGGGTTCTCACTTTATTTTAATGTAGGACGGTTTTGGTGAGCTAAAAATTCGAAGATCAAGCAAGGGAGCCAGATTTACAATTGTCTCAATGGCATTTGTGACGAGTTCCTCATCCTCTGCCAAGAAAAGAAATTTTAGAGGAAGCATAAATTGAAACTTTGAAAGATCTAACGAAATTTTTACAATAAGTATTAGAAGAAAAATACCATTAACCTACATGAAAAAAGAGAGACTATTTTGTAGAAGGGGAAAAGGGAAATAAGAAGAAGAAAAATGCAAATATTTTCTATAGCAGTAAATATAGCCCACGAAGTTCCCATTCCACTGCTCCTGATGATTCACCATTGGTCTACACATAATAAACTCAACAGAAAACATTTCAAGACCATTCAAGAAATGCAAAAATTTTCCTTCTCTTAACAATCAGTATATCACAGCCAAACTAGTTTAAGACTGTTGCATCTGATGGTACCTTCAACACGCAATCATTCCCTGTCTGAGCAATGAGCCAACCAAGTTATAAATATAAAATCTTCAATCTTGTCCTAGAATCTAAAAGTTTATAATTTTTGAAGGATACAGACATATATATACATAAACTAAAATGTACATGATGAGAGAGAAAAGAGAAGGGTTATCTCACCTACGTTGTGATCTTCTATGCACTGAAACACAGTTTCCAAGCAATGCCGATGTTGAGCCATAGCAATTTCATTCTCTGGCATGAAAGAAAAGTTGCGAATAATATTAGAAGCAGCAACAGCACACTGCTGTTTTTCTGCTCGACCCTCATCATCTAGATTAAATAGGCCATCTTCATCAAACCACCACTCTGACGGACGCAATTTACTTGAATTCTTCTGCCCTGACAGTTCTACAGCAGAAGAACCTGATCCTAATCTGCCATGCCAGAAAAACAAACATATTCATTTTCCAGTAATTCAAACCAACAAGAGAGCATAAAGGATTTTCCAGCCTACCCTGACTGTGGCAGCAAGGTATTCGTTCCCAACGCCTGATATTCATGTCCAAATCCAGTTACAACAGAACTCGCACCCAATGTTCTAGTTCTATGTCCCTTTCTAAGTTCCTTAGGAAGGGCTATATCACGCCAATCATCTATCTGCTCCGCATTATAAATAATAATAATAAAAAGCTACCACCGCCATCATTCAATCTTAAAGCACATGGATATTCCAGAGAATTCTCACCAATTTACAATAAAATAAAAGTTTATTAAGACATAGAGAAAACATACAATTTGGAGAAGAGCATCGAGCAAGCCGGGGATTTTGGCTAAGCAGGCGTCTTTACGCATATCATCTTTCTCTTTGAAAGAGAGCAATGTGAGAGTGTTCAAAGCCCAAGTCAACTCACTCTTCAACCCACTTTGAAGTGCCAGAACTATCCTTTTATTGTTTTGCTCTAATTGCAACACCATTAACAAACTTAACAAACAATTTTATAATATATATATTAACAAAATAACTGTAAATCAGAAATACTCATAAATCAATGGAATGCTTTTCTTATGTTTACAAATTGTACCTTTTGTTTTAATTCTGGGTTTAGGATCTATTACCTGCGAAGGATGTGTGGATTTGGAGGGAAGGGCCGAGGAGAATTGAGGGAGCCACTGAATCAGCTGCGGAAGCGGAGGCTGCGCTTCCTGCCGTGCTGCCAAAGGGACGGCCTCTCTTGGGCGGTGGTGCAGCGGTGCCACCAGCCGCGACACCAGATTTGCCCTGCTCTCTCTTCTGCATTTTTTAAAAAATATTTGTTTTCTTTTCTCAACTCGGAGAGATTTGATGTGGAGTTTCTTTAATTACCCGAATCCGACTAGCACGAATTATATACCTTTGAAGTAATAATAATAATAATAATGGATCCAATATGAGTTTGAGATTAGTTCTCGTAAAGATAGGAGAGCTCTATGCTTGGCCCAGTCAGTAATCTATAATCATCTAAAAAAATATTAAATTACTCATTTCCTAGTTTGAAAAGAATTTGATACGTGATATTTGATTATTATATTCTCATATCATAATTATAAAAGTATTTTTATAATTATTTATTATAATACCTTATATCATATTATAAAAATATCATTTTTTTAAATTAATTATTATGTTTGTAGGTACCTTATTTGGTATAGGTTTAAGTTAATTAGATCTGGCTCAAAAAGATCTAATATATTTAGCCCAATTAATCATTGTATTTTATATTTTATTATTTAATTTATTTATTTTTGGTTTTTATCTTACCTATTTTTTATTTATCTTTAATTTCTTTTATTTTTTATTTGATTTATCTTTAGTTTTTTTTTATTATTAGATTAGGTGTTAATAATAGGATAATAATAAAAATAAAAAAAATAAAAAATAATGAGGTTGTCGTGAATGAGTGATGACAGAATTATGGATGAATTTAATTTTTATAGAAGAATGCGAAAATCTTGTTGAAAGGAGTCATGGTTAATCAAAAACTCTTATGATTACCCTTATAAATATAGAGCTGAATCTAACAGAAATGGACAGCAACAAACACAAATCAACAACAAGAGATCAGAGACAAAGAAACACACAGTAACAGAAAGAGGAATACAAAAATAAAGAATACAAAATATAAAGATCAGGTAGATCACACGCAAAAAATATATAGCAAAAAAGCAAAACGATCAAGCAAAAATCAAAAAAAAAATTGAAGATTTTTGGAAAATTTTGGAAAATTCTCAAATTTCAGCAAAATTTTTTAAATTTTGGTGAATTTTTTGGCACCTGTTGAATTTTTGGGTGAATTTTTTGACATCGATTGAATTTTTCTATAAGCTTTCCAAAATCCAGTTGAAGATTCTAATGAAAGTTGAAAATTTCAGTGAATATCAGGCGAACCAACCCAAATTTTAATGATTTTTTCCAAAATTCAGTGAAAATTCAATCGAAGTTCTTCGATTTGTAGAGAAAAGGAGAAAAAAAAAAAGGAAGAAGAGAAAGAGAGGGGAAAAAGGAGAATCTGAAGAAAAAGATCGGACTTAGGCTTTTATATCGCCCTCAAAACGACGTTGTTTTGGAGTTTAAAAAGACTTAGGATTCGCGCGTTTTCATTCGAGTAACCCGACCAATAGCACTGACCAGTTTTTGACTCATGTTTGACCCACATCCAGCTTTTAACTCCAACAGAGTCGAACCGTGAGCCAAGTTGCCAAGCCACATCCTTGGAGCTACATTTTCTATCTTCAGTCGAGCAGATTTATTTTTTGGTATTTTATTTATTTATATATTTATTTAGTTATATTTATAGGTTTTTTTATTTATTATTTTGTATGATTAAATTTTAAGGAAAAAAAAGTATAAAATAAAAATAATTTTTTTTAGAATAAATATTAATTGTCTAATGATAGAATTTTTAAAAATTTTAAACAGTAAATTTTTATAAAATTCGTAGGTGATAAATTTTTTTTAAATTTGTCCCAAACGGTGGAATGATTTAGATAAAATTTTAATAACAATAAGTAATATTTATTTTCAAACAAAAAAAAGATAAAAAAACTAAAAAGATCAAAGATAAAAATATTAATAAAATTTTGGAAAAATACTAATTATCCAAGGATGAGATTCTTAGAAATTTCAAATAGTAAATTTTTAAGAAATCTCTAGATGAGAAATTTCTCTAAATTTGTCTAAAATGGTGGAATAATTTAGATAAAATTTTAATAAAAGTAATTGTATTCTTTTTCAAATAAAATTTTTGGTTGAAAATATTTGATAATTATCAAAGGATAAAATCTTAGGAATTTCAAATGATAAATTCTTAGAAAATCTCTAAGTGAGAAATTTTTTTAAATTTGTCCCAAATGGTGGAAGAATTTAAATAAAATTTCAATAAAAATAATTGTCATATTATTTTTTTCTAAAAAAAAGAAGAAAAAATTTCTAAATAGCCCACATGGTGAAAATTTTAAAAATTCAGAAAAAAAGATATTTCTAATTTGGCCTAATTTGTGGAATAATTAGATTTTTTTCAACAAAAACCAAAAAACAAAATAAAATAATTAAACTTTTTCTGACAACGAAGCCTCTTCAAGAAAACAAATGGATTGTTGAATACTCTTGAGGTAAAAAATATTTTTAAAAGTTCTATCAAATTGATGGAGAGTCTTAAGAATTATTTTTAATATTTGAACCTTAAATTTTAAAACCATTAGAATCAAGATCTTAGGATAAATTTAAAATTAAATAGTACCATCCTTTGGATGGGCATGCGGGGTTACTATAACTTTCCTCATATGTAATCAAACTCTTATACCTTATTCTGGTTTATAGACCTGAACTTATTTTTTTAGGGACCCTTAGTTAAGATTAAGAGCTTGTTAAAAGGGTAGATTCCTTAAGTAACCAATCACACCTAGTAAAAAAGATTGGTAGTAACTCTATTTATTAAGTTTAGCTATAGATTTACAGATTATATATTATAACAGTTTATCAATTCCACTAGGGATGCTATAGAAAGTCAAGCCATAAAATTTTAAATATATTCTATCCTTTGATATAATGGTTTTAAATTGTAATTATTTGTTTACTAACATTTTTCCTTTTTTGTCTCTTACTTTATTTATGGGGGTTGACGATTATATGTTCCTTCACACGCACTATCACATGTATTTATATTACATGAGCTCTATACTTGGGCTTTATCCCTGTTAAGAAGGGGTAAAATACATACGCTCTTGTAAGATGATAATCTTGGTAATGGCTAACAAAATACTCCCACTTAAATTGAATCTTTTCCATTGGTAGCCTATGATGGGTGAAGATTTGACTACCTTATTAGTCTTGATGAAAGATGATGTAAGGAATAATTTGAAAACTTTTAGTGGTCAAAGTTACTTAACCCTACATATAGTTCACACTCAAGAGGTCAGCCTTAAGATAGAGCCCTTCCTACCCAATGATAGATGTATCTTGAAATTAAGACACAATAAGGAATATTTTTTGTATCTATCCATTTTGTTTATTTGGCTTTGTGTATTTGCATCATGATAATATCATGCATCATTTTCATTATCATATTCAACATTGTCTTTTGCATAATTTTCATACAAGGAATATTTGCCATATCTCATACCTACATCCAAGAAAATGTATGTTACATACAGCATATCGTTTCTAATAATAATTATGATATTCAAGGTTTAAGGATAGCTCCGCCAACCAAGAATCTCACATAACCAACTCACCAATATAATATAAGAGCTCGAGCCAAACAAATGAAACATGAAAATTTTAATCATCTCGAGAGGATAAAGAAAACTCAAGATAAGCTGAAAGGAGAGTTAAGTAAAATTTTAGATGCTTTGAATAAATTAAACAAAAGGAAAGAATAGAAGAAAACACTAGCCAACAAGACCATCCATCACAAGAGGTGTATGACCCTCTATGCCCTTATGATTTTAGGTCGCATCAAGCCCAATCTACACAAAACCCACAACCATAGTAGTTCACATATCTGGTAGGATATACATACCCTGAAATGCCATCAGCTTTGAACTCAGAACATTACCAAAGTTATGTAAATCATGTTTTTACTGAGAAGGTAGTGGAACTAGTATCAATCCCTAATATGGATGATCTAGAAGATAAAGAGAAACTGATGCCTATAGAGAAAGAGACTTTAGAGGACTTAAAAGTTGAATAGAAGATGAACTTGTTAGAGAAAAGGTTATGAGCCATAGAGGGAATCGGTTCTTATGGTTTTGTAAATGCTGCTAGGCTTTATTTAGTCTCAAATGTCATTATTCCCCAAAAGTTTAAGGTTTCGGAGTTTAAAAAGTATAATGGTATAAAGTGTTCGAAGACTTACATTACTATGTATTATTAAAAAATAACTGCTCATGCTAATAATAAAAAAACTTTTAATGTACGTTTTTCAAGATAGCTTTACAGACTCTGCTGCTAGGTGGTATTTCAGTTAGACAAGACAGGCATTCAGTCCTGGAGTGATATGGCTTGCGACTTCATTAGTCAATATCGACATATCATAGATTTAACTTATGATCGCCTATCCTTGCAGAATATGAAAAAAAAAGTGATTGAATCTTTCAAAGAATATGTCCAGAGGTAGATGGACATAGCTATTTAGGTATAACCTCTTTTGACTAAGAAAAAAATCATAGTGTTATTCGTCAGCACTTTAAAATCTCTTTATTATAAAAAAATGATAAGGAATGCAATGAAGAACTTCACTAGTATGGTAATTTCAGGAAAAATTATTGAAAATACCATTAAGAGTGACAAGCTTCAGGAAAGAGAAATAACCAAGAAAAGAGGGTTGCTTAAAACAAAAGAAGTCGAAGCCTAAGCTATGAACTTTGATAGGTAAAAATATAGAAGCTATGCTTCATATCCACTGCCAGTTCATACTATTTATGATCCCGTAATTAATGCTATTGCATAGGCCCCTTACCAATCATATCCACAACAGCTTACCCACCAACCTACCAATCAGCCTTTCAAGTACATGCATCAGCTTCAAAGCTTAACAACCAAGTAAGTGGTTTAAGGAGATCTCGAGATAATTAAGAAAGGATGCATATTGATCATATCCTTTTGACTTACACTGAATTATTCCCAAAACTGATCAAGAATAACTTAGTATCTCCAGTTATTCTAGAACCATTAAAGTCAACCTATCCAAAGTGATATGATGCTAATGCGACGTGCAATTATCATAACGAGAAGGTGGATCATTTTATTGAAACCTGCCCTACTTTTAAACACAAAGTGCAAAGTTTAATCTAAAAAGGTTTAGTGAGTTTCGCCGAATCAAAAGGATAAGA